GCTTATTTCATCTCGTTTAATTCTTCAAATGTTGGCAATTTTTTTGGAGTTTAATTCTAAAGGACTGTATCAAAGTTCAGGAAAAGAAAAAGAAAGTTGTTGTCTTGTGTTCCCGTCCTCGACAAAACGTGAAATTAGGCAGTTTCACGTTGTAGTCGTGTAACGACTGTGGAGAAATGCACGAAAAAGCGTGATGCACGTGCAAAGTTGTTGTTTTGCTTATCTAAATCTATATTGCTTTTTTGCCGCCCTCGTTGCCGTCATTGCGTAAGCTAGAATCACGACCGCGGAAGCGGCGAATTTTCGCAATCGGGCTGTTCAGTATTATAAGATCTTTCTAGTATCCATTAATTCGGTCGTTTGACGTGTGTAATCACTTTAGGTTGTTTTTCATCTGCGACATGGGTGAAACCCGTTTCCATCTCCTACGAAAAGGGACAAGTTTGTTCAGGAGGTCAACAAGTCCAGCCCGAAACTGTTTCTTCATATAAAAATAAATGAGAGGTTTTAGAGCGCAGGGTAAAAAAACAGAGTAGGTGGATATTAAAGAAACTTGCCTTGGAAGCTCAACTCCTAAAGTCGCGAGAAGAAACAGTAGACATACGGGAAACCAACAGAGTAATACTATGACGACGACCGAGAAGAGTGTCTTCGCGGAGTCTATCTCTTCCGATGCGATCGATGTTACGGGTGATAGAGACTTGATGCGTTTGCTTGCTTTGCTGATCTGCCGCACTCTCACAAAACAAGCAATGATAATCGCCACGGGAAGACCAATGACTAAAAGGGTAAAAACCGCCGCGTAGGACAAGCTAGAACCGAAGTACATGAAACACATAGCGTTTCCGGGCAGGAAGATGAAGTGCCCCCATCCTACAAGAGGCGGGAAGGCGCACAAAATGGCGTAAACCCAAATCGCTAGCAACATCCACGCGATATTTTTCTTCTTGAAAATGGTCATGTACTTTAGAAGGTCCGTGATCAAATAATAACGACTGATGCTTATCGTAGCTAAAGTTATTATGGAAACAATGAGAAGCAAACACGACATGTAGGCAAAAGCAGAGCAGAGTGATTCCCCGCCCGACCACTTTCCCGTGAGCAGAACCACAAAAGCAAAAGGTACGCAAAGAATCGTCGCTAGCAAGTCCACAAAAATCACATTTAGAAGCAGTAGGTTGTGCCAGGTTCGCAGTCGAGGGCTTCTGTACATGATGACACAGGACAAAATATTTCCAGTCGTAGAGGTTGCAAAAATGAGTCCCAAAGCGATCGTTTCAACCACAACGAGATAACTTGGTCTTTGCTGTAAATCTCTCGCCGCTTTCCACTCACTCAAGTTCACATACATCGCGAAAAAATATGCAGAAAAAAGCTGTCTATTAGCTTTGATGTTTCCAGAAGGCTTTTTTGTCACTTCCAGTAGTATAGTATTTGTATAACCTGTTTTAACTCTGTGAGTGTGAGAAACGTCATCCAAAACCGATGGCTTACCGTTAATATCTCCGTAGCTCTAGGGTTTATCCGGTCGGACGTCCATTTACTCTCATTTTAAACAGCGTTATGAAATTTCATTGGATAAACGCTTATCTCTGAACTTCCCTTTTAAATTGCCGTGAGTATATTAGTACAAGAGTTGTCGAAAGCGCTGCAAATAGCTTCTATCGATTAACAACTATCTTTTTCCCGCGAGTCTTTTTTTAGCCTGTCAGTATTAATGACGGCGAATCTCAACTTAATAAGCAAACTAAAAGCAATTTTCGATGTAGAGGAAAGTGCCCCTTTCCTCATTTGCAAACATTTGCTATCGATATTGCGATTTCTGAGGATATTTGGGAGTAATATTTTGACAAAATGAAATAGAGAGACCTTTTAATTAAACCGGTATTTGGTCACCTGTCTTTGCCTCGAGGCAGCTGCTCTACAAAACTTCACTCATGGATATTTACTTAGAACCTTCTTGAATGACATCTCCAAGAACAATTATTCTCCAAGACAAAAGCGATACCCCGACCCTCGACCTTCTAGTTTAGTAAGCCTTTAAAATTCTACTTTGGCTATGTATCATTTGTTCGTTTTTCGTCACGGGAAAATGTCGGATTGGGTGAACACGCTAAGATGACCTTGTTGGCCTTGTTCTCTCGACAAGGGTTTCCATGGCAGTATTGAAGATAAATTACAATTAATAAAACGGATAAATATTATCCTTTAATCTCGTATTTTTCCAGTTGTTGAATCATTTATTCAAGTGAACGTATCTTAGTGGCGAAAAAAAATTTTTTTTTTTTAATGTAAATGTCACTTGCATGTAGCGTCCTGACACTGCGTGCCTCGAACAGCTTTCGCTAGACATGGTGAATTTCAGAAATTCAGTTATAAAGTTGTTGTTGCTGTTGTTTGCTACCTTTAGAGAGTAACTCCAGCCCAAAAAAGCCCCCTACTCCTCCCGAAAAAGTCAGAAACAAATAGCTGCTGAGCTTCAGGGCAAGGAAAAGTAAAAAGTTCTGATTCTGAATTGTTTTCACATACTTTTTTTTCCAAAGACGGCGTGATTGTTGGCGTAATTTAAAATTAAACCATATTCTGTATATGCCCCGTGTTATCTTAGCGTGCTAAGCAGTCGCTACTAAAAACAAATGTTGTTTGATAAATCAATAGCAGAGTTCAATACTTTAGAAAGTAACTCATCCAACCGGATGCATGTGTGTGATAGGTTTTTAAAAGTTCTTTTCTTTGCATGTAAGATTGGTTTGGCTGTTTGCCATTAAAAGAGTGTATAGTCCTGGGAATCCTCTGCAATTATTTTAGAGGACTGGGCACCAGTCAGCCGGTAAGGTGTTGTTGTCCGCCATATTGGATCCGTCAAGTCTCATGTCCCCAAAGTTGGTTTATATGGGCTTGAAACATGTCTGATCGAAAAGCTGAGCTAGAGAGAAAACGGAAACGTTTGGAAGAGATCAAGAAAGCTCGAGAAGAGAAGAAAAAGGTAATTATAAATTGATTTAGAGATCAATTTTCTGCGGAATATATAAGCTCAGCTTGTACGTTGTTTACCCTCATTTTAACAGATTTTAATACTCATTCAGCTTGTTGACATTAACTGACTTAACTCAGTCACCCTTCTCGGGGTACTCATTCTTTTCTATTAAATAGACCCAACAAATTTTGTTTGTCATTGATACAGTTTTAGAACAGAATATGGGTAGGACGAATATTAAATAATTTTAAAGTAAGCTTACTTCATTCGTTTCAGTATCGCCTTTTCCAAGTGATGTGGCAAATTTGTTTTCTTAATCACAAGCTTAATCTTGAATTCTTCAGTATTTCCACATTCTCTCCCGTGAAATGTAGTGATCTAAGTATCAGAAATAGAGCTGTAGTGTTCAAATTATTTTATCTTTATATTATTATTATGCCCTATTGGCTTAGGTCCTCTTCACATGAACCCGGCGTCCGAGATTTCGCCTTACCTCTAAGTCCTTTGTGAAATTTTTGATGTGTTCATGTGAGAGGCGGGGCTGGCTTGGTTCCCGAAATCTTGGTAAGTGGGTTGGAAATTTTGCCATATGAACACTTCATCCCAGTTACCGGGATGAAAGCGGGATGGACTCTGGTGGTCCGGATGGCATCGTCTTGCATTGCCTGTTGTATTTTTCATTTAACTACAGTGACTCGTCCTCAGGATCTTTGACCTTTTCTCATCTCGGAAACCAAGCTGAAATTTCTCATATGAACCCAAGGCGAAATTCATGTCAGTAACTGTGCCAGCCCGATGAACCAGGCTCATATGAAGAGGGCCTCAACACCTGAATTCCCTTCTACAGTTTAACCCCGTCTTATGGCCACCTCGTTATTACGGCCACTTTTTTTGGCCTTGGGGCAAAACGGCCCTACATTTTCTTGTAAAAGAACCCTAGTTAATGCAGTCACCCGTTAATATGGACCAGAGATCTAAAATCAGGAGACGCTCTATTTTGCCCCCACACCCTCCAAATATCAAAAGCCCTATGAAAGGATTATTGTGACAGTGACATTCCTTTTTTTTTTTAATTAGGGAAAGCAACACATGTTCACTTTTGTTTTTTGGCTGTTTCTGCAACAAAGTAACAAACTCTCTTTTGTTATTTCCAAACAATAAAATATTTTCTTTTATTTTCTTTGGAACATTTTCTAATGTTATGGTATCATTCAAGAACTGTCCCCCGAAGGAGAAAGTTTTATAACAATTCTTTCCTGGCTCTATATCTGCTGTAAATTTCAAGTTGAGTATCACAAGACTTTATGCCAAACAGACACCAACATTCTAGTCTGAGCTAAAATGTGACAGCAACATTTTTTCCTAACCTACCAGGCAACAGGCAGCAGGCAGCCTCAGAAATGATGAACCACCCCCACCCCCATCAGATTAGAGAGTTATTTGTTATAGTTATGATTATGTGTATTATAATCATAATGTTATGTGATGTACATGATTGTATACACAGCAGGATCAAGAGCAAGGTAAAACAGCTGCCGCACAAAAGGCCGCTACAACATCAGCAGCAGAATCAAAGGAGACTGACATTGAAAGAAAAAAGAGAGAAGCAGATGAGCTACTCAAGGGGATCATACCTGATGATGTGATTGATGGCACAGCAGGTTTGTTTGCAATTTGCTTTTACAGTGGAACCCTGTTAATGTGACCATGGTAGGGCTGACACTTGCAAACTGTTAGATTTTCTAGTCCGATAAGGACAAAAAACCATACATGTAGGTTCTGTCTCACAGCACTTTCACTTATCTGGTTCTTGTGGGATGTAAAAGAACCCACACCAATGTTCGAAAAGAGTAGGAGACGTAGACACTGGTGGTGTGGCAAACCTTTCCTGGGCTGGGTGGGTTATCTGTAAGGACACACTTCAATTAATTGGAGCCCCACTCTGTTGTGTGTTCCGCACCATTTGGTGGAATGGATTCAATAAATAGATGAATAAATAAACATTTACTATATGGGTGATGTTTCTTATAGAGCTGCAAACCGTAAACTACTGTGCCCTCCCGCCCCCCACCAACACCACCACCACTAGTTATAGGCTCATCTGCCTGTAAACAAAAAGATAGATCCAATTATAAGCCCCACCAAATACAAGCCCTCCCCCAGCTCTGACTATACGCCCCCCTCTTATTTGGATTTATTATGACATTTTGAAGCTTAATATTTAAGACTGGTATACACAAAATGTGTTTTGTTCAGTACCGGTATAGCTTGTTTCAAAGCACTTTTTTCTATTCTGATTATATGCCTTCCTTCGGATGTAAGCTCCTCCATTTTTTGAAGGTTTACTTGTATGAGCCCAGGGTGGCAGTAAACGTTGGTTTTTCTAAATGTGAATGTTGTGTTTACATGTTATTGAAATGACTATTTTTATCTTTGAAAGTCTCACCACTGTTACAGAAGCCTGGGAAAACTGAATCAGCTAGCCCAGGCAAAGATATAGCAGGACCTTTTGTTCAGTAAGTAAGAAGCTTCATCACAGTTTGCAAAGATGAAGAACATTTCAATTTTTAAATTAGTGAATGGTACAGAGGGTAATTGTCATTTACAGTTACACAAGTTATTGAAGGTTCAACCAGAGCGGTACTGGTTAGAGAGATGAAAATACATTTTTTTGGAACAGATGTCGGGATCTTGTGTTTTGTCAGCTATTTATGATATTTTTTAATCCTTTAAGATAAGTGGTGGCAGGAGGAGGGGATTGGTTAGCATGTTAAGCATGCTGAAAGTCAGTAGGATTACTGTAACTTCATTATCCTTGTTTTGACTGAACAATTTTCAGAGAGAAGAGAAAAACGCCAAAACTGGGAGTGTCCCAGCTTACGCAGACAAACATACCACCAAAGGTTGGTTTCAGTACACTTCAAGAACAACTTCTTTAATATCTCAAAGATCTGTGTCATGTAGATTGCTGAAAACCTCTTTTCATCAAAGAAAAACTCCTTATTCTTTCTGAGGTTAATTTTTTGTGCAAATTGAATTTCATTAGGAACCTGTGCTTTATAACAAAGAAACACAAACTCGGAATGCTGAACCTGAGGAGCCTGGTATGTAATAATTGCTGGTAAATGTCTGCCCACTCACAGTATCCCTGCAATTTACCAAAAATTTACACCAAGCCACATCAAGTTTTAAACTTCATGGAACCCATGAAGTATTGCAGCATACTATATTGCAAAAGTAATTTGCAATAATTTGCTCTGTGAGCTTGATTTAGTGACACAAATTTCTATAGAAAATTGCATGAAAGTGTGCATGTGCTAACTGGCCTTGTGACTGATCTTTTGGTAGATGAGTTTGAAGCTGCTCCTGCTCCT